TTACAGTCCAACCTCACATGCCCCAGATTGAAATCCTGATCTTCCCTTTCAAATCTTCTCTTCCCAGGGGATCCCCATCTCAACTACTAGCAACCCCATGCTTTCAATTTCTTAGGCAAAACTGTTGAAGACATCATGGATCCCTTTCTTTCTCTCAGACTCTACATCCGAATCATCAGCAAATTCTATTTGGCTATACTTACAAAGTAAACCCAAACCCATCACTTTTTCCAGCCCACTGTCACCCGCTTGTCTAGGCTGCAGTCATCTCTCTTGGATGATTGAGTGTCTCATAATTGGACCCTGCTTCAGCCTTTTCCTCCCTGCAGTCTTCCCAACACAGCACCCACAGTGATTCTTAAAATGTGAGTCAGATCAAATAAACTCCTCAGCTCACAATCATCCAATAGCTCATTCAGAGTGAACACCCAAGTCCTTACACATGACCTAGACCCCTTGTGCTATATTGTATCATTGTACCCAACTATTACCTCCATTCTCTGTAAGAGGATCCTATATTCCCACCCACTGCCATGCAAGTACATATTCCTCCCCCATTATCAGGACTGGCTATGTGACTTGCTTGGACCAGTGGAATGTGAGCAGAAAGGACAGTGCGCCAGTGCCAAGGAGAAGATTCAGAAGGCATTATCACATGGTTCTGTAAGCTCTCTCGCTTTTTCTTCGGCAGTAAAAGTAGATTGTATCAAGCAGAGTCTGCTCCTTCAGCCTGAGTCCCAGAAGAAGACTTGAAGGAGCAACTCACTCACAACCACAATACAGAACATTGATGCAACTTTATGTGAAGCAATAAATGTTGGTTGTTGCAAGTCACTGAGGCTTACGGGGACATTTGTTACTGCAGCAAAGCTGACTAATATATACCCCCATCACCTCTCTGACCAGCTTCATCTCCGAGTCTGCTGCAGCCATCATGACCTTATTGCTGTTTTCTTTTTTTTTTTTTTTATCCTCGCCCGAGGATATTTTTCCATTTTTTGTACAGATAGAGTGGGAGGGAGAGAGAGGAAGGGAGAGAGAGAGAGAAACATCGATGTGAAGGGACACATCGAGTGGCTGCCACCCGCACGACCAACCAGGGCCGGGGACAAACTGCAACCAAGGTACGTGCCCTTAGCAGGAACCGAACCCGGGTCTCTCCGGACCGCAGGCCGACGCTCTAACCGCTGAGCCAAACTGGCCAGGGCTATTGCTGTTTTCTTAAATGTGCCAGGCATACTCCTGCCCCAGAACCTTTACACTTACCATTCCCTATGCCTGGAAACATCCGCTTCCCCCAGATATCTGCATTTTCGGCTCCCTGCCTTCTCTTAGGTCTTTGCTCCAGTGTCACTTAAGTGAGGCCTTCCCTGATTGTCCAATACAAAATTGCAACATCTCCACTCCTACAATCCCTCTCCCCTCCTACTTGACTTTTCTCTTTAGTGGTTATTGCCATCTAAAAAATTAATTATTTTGCTCCTTTATTTGCTTGCTGGCTGTCTCCCCCCTAGAATGTGAGCTCTATCAGGGCAAGAGTTTTGTCTCTTGTTCACTGTTGTATTCCCAACACCTGGGACAGCGTCTGGTACATCATAGTTGTTCAATAAATACTGCTGGAATGAGTAGTGGTGGTGGGGTGATGGGGTGTGCGTGGGGAGAGGCGAGTCCAGGTGCTACTTTGAGTATTTTAAGTCAAATGCTGCTGGAATAGAATATGGAGAGGGGTACATTTACAAAGAATATTTTGGAAAAAGGACTAGGTCCAAGATCTGAAATTATGCTAAGGCTGGAAGGTGGGATGGACACTCGAGCTGAAGACTTGGGTCAGAGCCATCATTGCAGAATATTTAAAAAGTAGAAATTCCTAAATTGTCAGAAACATAAAATGCTAGTTAAATCATAACTTTCTAAGTAAAGACAATTATTTGAAATAGCTTCATTTGTAGTGAAACACAGTAAATAGTTACCTCTGAAATCCCAGGCTCAGTCTTGTACAAAGATTAAGAGTGTAGACCTTGGAGCCAGACCACCGAGGCTCACACCCTGCCTCCGCTGCTCAGGTTCATTTGTCCCCTCAGGCAAGTCACCTGACCTCTTGGGGTCTCTGTTTTCACATCATAAAATGGAGATGAAGATAATAGCGTTTGAAGATAATAGCGTTAATAAAATGCCTACTAGGCCCTGGCCAGGCAGCTCAGTTGGTTAGAGCGTCATCCCGACAAGGTTTGGGTTCAATTCCCAGTCAGAACGTGTACAAGAAGCAGAGAATGCATAAATAGGTGGAACAGCAAAATTGGTCTCTCTCTCTCTTTCTAAAATCAACAAATAAAATAAAATACTTACCTACAAGGATGGTTAAAATTAAATAAAAAGTACATGTAAATTGCTTTGAATCATACCTGGAACACAGCACTCAACAAACATGAGCTATCATTATTACCATTTGAAAAAATACATGTGAAAAATCTGAAGGAAAAATATGTGTATGTCCAAGTACTTAGACACATTCACCACACTTTGGTCAAGATTTACTTATCGAGACTCTAGGCATAAAATAAAACTTGTGATGTTTTGACTAAGGACAATTGTAGGGGTGCAGGTGAGCTACCCCTATCTGTGTCTTAGTGGTATGTGGATTGTTTCGAACTAAAGGCCACCAAAACCCTGCAGGCTCAAGAGAAACTTCTGCTCCCTGCCCTTAACTATCTAGAAGAATTTAAATTAGGAGCCTGAACCATGATGAGAGTTAAACCCAGCAATGACTTTTTGCCTTACCTGTCTACATGGCAGGGCAAACTAGTAATTATTGAACACAGCTCTCCTTGAAATGACCCTTTGAGTCCCAAGGTGCAGAATGTATATGTACCTCCTTCCTAGCTCAGAATGTCATATGTACCTGTTTCCCTTTCTGTGGTGTCTCTAACTCTCTCATGTATACAGGGTTTCCATACCTAAATGTATATGTTAAATTTGGTCATTTTTTTCTCGTTAATCTGTCTTACATCTATTTGATTATTAGACCAACTGAAAGAACCTTGAGGCAGAGGAAAGTTTCTTCCTCCTCCACTCTATCAAATAATATTCAATGTGTGCTGGTTTATTGAAATGAGGCAAACAGTGTAAGATGACTGAGTTGATGATGATGATGCAACTTTATTTCATCCTATCTTCACAACCTCCTTGTGAGTTAGGTTCTATTATCTCCATTAAACTGGTGAATTAACTGAGACTTAGAAGGTCAACAATTTGCCCAGGGCCACTCAGCTGGCCAAAGACAGAGCCTGTTTTTACACCTGGCTGGTTAAGCTCCTGAAATCACACTCCTAACCATTTCGCAAGGCGGAGCAAAGGTGAGCATTGAAGGGATGGCAAGGATGTGAATTCACTGCAAGGCTCTTGGCCAGGGTTACATCCTGTCAAAGCAATTCCACAGAAACTCTTGGAGGTATTCTCTGACAGCACAGATAAGGACATAGTGGTTACATGCACACCTGCTGGGACAAAGGTACTATTTAAATTGTTCTTTCTTAAATTATTTACAAAAATGCACATTGTGGGCCTGTGTCTGCCCATGGACTTTAAACTTGTCTTTGTAGCTGGGGCACCTGCCAGGGAGCTGGGCACAGGGCAGCACAGAGCAGCTCCCTGGTTACGGAACCCCAGCCAGCGGCGGGGGTAGCTGTGTCCTCTGTGGCAGGGCCTGAGGCTGAGACCTGGAGGCGTTGGTAGGTCACCTCCTTGAGCTTCAGCTGAACGGCTCCACTGGAATGGCAAGATCCGTACCCAGACTGTTGTTGCAATAAACCTTTGCCCACAGAACGGCCATTCTATGAAGATACGTGGTGATTTAGCCAAAGGCTAAATTGAGAAAATATTCTCATGCTTACTAAATGATAATGCTTACTGTTTGAGACTGTGAACCAGACATCTCCTAATGACATTTTCTTTGTGCAGCTAAGTCAGAGATGACTCCAAAACCTCGGCGACGGAGGAGCTCAGGTGGCAAAAAAAAGGCAAAACATGGAGATAAGGAAACATTACCTGGTAGGATTGTCTTTTCATTAATAAGATTTTTATGCCTTTAGTATTTGCACATGTGTTAGCAGCCAGAAAGATTTGATTTTATGTATCAAATAAACTTAAATATTTTGGCTATCATAAAGCTCAACACAAGTGGAATTCAAAATATGGGCATTTATTCTCATTTTGTATTTATCTCATTACCATATCACTTAAATGCCACGGGAAACATATCATATATGTACACCCCCATGTTCATAGAAGCACTATTTACAATAGCTAAGATCTGGAAACAGCCCAAATGTCCATCAGTAGACAAATGGATAAAAAAAGCTGTGGTACATGTACATAATGGAGTACTATGCAGCTGTAAGAAAGAAAGATCTCTTATCCTTTGAGACGACATGGGGGGACCTGGAGAGTATTATCCTAAGCGAAACAAGCCAAGCAGAGAAAGACAAATATCACATGTTCTCACTTATTTACTTATTTGTGGAATATAATGAACATAACAGTCTGAGGAATGGGGTGGTCCCAGAGACATGGAAATGGGGTACAGACTAACAATCCCTAGAAGAGGGTGTGGTGGGGGAGAGATAAACCACAGAATTTATATGCATGTATTCATGAACAATGGACATGGACAACAAAGCTGGGGACAGGGTGGGGAGGGAGGTGGAGGGGAGAATCATTGGGGGGGAAAGGAGAAACATCTGTAACAAAAATAAATAAATTAATTTTAAAAAATTAAAAAAGAAAGATAATTCTGTGAGAAAGACCATTTTTCAGATTCTGTTTATTTAATTATTCATAAAATAGTTTGACTTCATTGTATATTTGCATTTATGTTTTGTGTTTTGAGACCCGTAAAAAAATTGTAATAAACTAAGATATGTATTTGATTCCAAAATGTAAATCTGATGTTGTTTTATTATATTCTAGTTCCTGAGGAAGTGGAACCTGTCAATATGGAAAGCATGGGTAAGTCAAAATACAATTTAAAAAGTGTCCCCAGGTACAATATGCAATAAGCAAGTGCAAATAGTATAAATTGAAGCAATTGATCAAAATGTACATGGACTAATATTACATCAGGTCATTTAAAATATAAATTGAAAAATTTTAAAGAAAGAATAAAAAGTAAGCATGGAAGAGAGAATTGTAAACTGAGAAATGAACTCAGGCCAACCTGCCCCTTCCAAATCCAAATTGAATGATTATTGACAGATCTTTTATAATTATAAATTGTGGTGGACCAGCAACTTATTACTTTTATTAGAATCACATTATTAAAACTCTGGCTCACAAGCAATATTTATGTGTACTTCACAGTAAGGTTCCACTGTTTCAGGGGGAGAGGCTGATTTTTCAGCCAAGAAACCAGAACTGGGACAGCCAAACTAACGTTGCTCCTATCTTTAGAGGCTAAATAACTAGCAAACCTCTGTTTTTGTTGTTGAAACTTTCTCTTAGAGTTGACTTAGATGATGAGTTTCGCATTTGAAAACAGAGGAAACAGCGAGGGTGGAAAAAAGAAAGATCTAAGAGCCTGTGGGCCGGGTTGGAGATTCGGGCTGTGAATCGTAGGCAGCTGTCGGCGGCGTTTAGGCAGAGCAGGGACAGGATCTAACTTACGTTTTGACTGGGTCGCTCTGGCTAGCGCTCCGCTGAGAAGAGCAGGGGCAGGGACAGAAGCAGAGGGCGCTGAGGGAGCTACTGCAACCATCCAGGGCGGAGAGAGGGCTGGGTTGGGCCAGGGTGGCAGAAGGGTGGAGATGTGGAGCATAGAGGTGGGGAGCCGTAGGAGAATGTCAATGAGTAAGAGGCATCGGAGCAGACTATACTGCCCAACAAATATTTGGAATTAATGAATGCACCACCTCTGATGGGGGGAGCCATTTTTAACCCTTTTCTCCTCCCACACCCACACTCCCCTTTAAACCAGCCCGACTCCTGTCAATTTCACCTCCAAAATAGATCTCAAACTTGTTCACTTTCCCATCAGCTCCACATCTACTACCTTGTCTAAGCCTCCACATTCCTCACTTACATTAGTTCCTTAGCTCCACCTGATGTCACTGCTTCCACTCAGCCTCCTGTAATCCATTCTGAACGCAGCAACCTGCCATGTCTCTTTCCTACTTTAACTCTCCCAAGGGTTTTTTCTTTGTCCTTATAGTTGTCCTGGCTCTGCCTTCCTCTGTGGTCTTTTCTCTTCATCCTCTGCCCCCACCTATGGTTCGCCAGTCTTGCCTAGCACAGAACATACCAAACTTGTTCCTGCCTCAGGGCCTTTGCTCTTGCTCCAGGTGCCCGGATAGCTCTTTCTCCAGATCTTTATGCAATTATCTCATTGTTCAGATCCAGTATCCAATCCCATCTCTGGAAGAGGCATTTCCTGAAGGCCTCTCTTTCACCTAGTACCCTTGCCTTCACAGCACTTACTGTAATTCTGAAGTCAAAGTAGAGTCAATTCTCATTCTCGGTGGAAGTTCTCCGTAGTCGCTGTGAACACTAAATTAGCAAATGCTGAGCTATTGCACTCAGGTCAAATACAGGGTTAGATTCCTATGAGCCTCTGGTCATAACATGTTCATTAACCAATTACTATATAGCCTTTCTATGTGTGTTTATTTTTGAAAGACACTTTATTTAATATATATTGTTAATTCATTAACATTGAACTCACAGACAACAGCACCGTAACTCGCGCCTAAGCCATCCTTACCTAACATACGTATTTCCTCCACAACCCGCACCACAGCCTTCTTACGCTTAGGAACACCGTGCAGCACTTCCGCACCACACCTGAGGACCATTTTAAATAACAAAATCACCAGTAAGAAGCACAAAATTGTGGCAGATGTGACACTAACTAGACAATGGAAAGGATACCTGTTTCCAGTATGAGCACTGAAACAGGACAGCGGAGCGTCGTCTTGTTTGACCTCGGTGGGCGACGTGCACATCGGACCACTCAACTCTCTTGCCACTGGGAGCATGTCCACTGGTGGCCATGAAAGCGCCACAGCTGTTGATTTGAGAGTTACAAGTAAATTTTAGTAAGTGAATTTTCAAATACAAAATCCACAAATCACTGTATTTATTTGTTAATGCATTTATAATTTATTTACACACACACACACACACACATACACACACACATTCCCTCCAGAACAGAAACTCTTGTTCACCACTGTACCCTAATGGCTGGAACAGACCTTGACATATAATACCTACTCAATAAATATTTGTTGATTGAGCCCTGGCCGGTTTGGCTCAGCGGTTAGAGCGCCCACCTGCGGTCTGGAGAGACCCGGGTTCGGTTCCCGCTAAGGGCATGTACCTTGGTTGCAGTTTGTCCCCGGCCCTGGTTGGTCGTGCGGGTGGTGGCCACTCGATGTGTCCCTTTCACATCGATGTTTCTCTCTCTCTCTCTTCCTCTCTCTCCCTCCCACTCTGTCTGTGCAAAAAGTGGAAAAATGTCCTTGGGTGAGGATAAAAAAATATATATATATTTGTTGATTGATTGAATTCATGAATGGCTGGATGGCTGGATGAATGAATTGCTTTCTCTGCTCTTCCTATCTAAGTAAACCCACCACCATGTCTACCTTCCTTGGTTCTATCTCTCACCCTGTTTTCTTCTAGTTAGCACTTGTCACAATTTGTGCTTAGGTATATCTGAGTGTATTTGTCTTTTTTTTTTTTTTAGATAAGCAAACAAGAATTTTTTGAGTGCAACAAAAACACACTTAGGGCAGTAAAACAAGGAAGGACATAGAAGAAGCAACAGGAGAGCCAGGCGAGCTGCTTCGGCTCACTGGAAGTCAGAAAAGGGGGCCTTGGAGACAGGCTCAAGGGATTAGCCCAGGATGAGCTGCCACTGCTTATTGCAAGACTCATGGGGTCCCTTGGAGTTTAAGAGATCCGTGCCTGTCAGGGAAAGAGAGGGAAGGGGATGGCATGGGTGTGCTCCCTGGAGGAAGAGCCCCTGTATTTGTCTTTTAATGTGTCTCACCCTCTAGACTGTCTACCTTGGCACTAGCATCATGCTTTTCACATAGTAGTTGCTCAATAAATATTTCTTGACTACATTAGTTGACTGGTAAAAAAAAATCCATGAACCTGAGAAGGGATATGGTAGAGATGTTTCAGTTGGGAGTGAAAGGACTGAAAAAATAGAAGTGAGTGTATTTGTTTAAGAAGAAAAACAAAACAAAACAAGCAAACAAACCTCAGTACTTTGTAGTGAGACTTGAGGACAGATTGTGATTTAGGTCCTGTTATACCAGAACCTCTCTCCTCTACTCCAAGACTCCTCTCCGGGTAACATCAGGGTCCCTCTGACTTCCTTGCTGCGGGGTCCAGACATTATCAGACATCACTCAGGGCTCATGGCTGTCACTCTCTAAGAGACAAGGATTCTCTTTTCTTCAGAGAGACCAAGGGATCCACAGACTAGCTAAACAACTGTCTCCTGAGGACCTGACGGGCAACGTCTAGAGGCTGCTAGAAAAGATGTAGGACTTGTATACACAGCTGACGTTGACGGAGCAACCGCTTTGCACCCTGCACACTCTGTCATCCCTTCAGCTCTATAATGTAACATCATCATGGCCCTGACAAGAGGGAGGTGCTGGGACTCCCAAAAGTTAAATAATGTACCCAAATTATGTCATACTTTAATACAGGTTAGAATATCAGTGATTTATTAGTTGCATATTGCTGCCATGACAAACTACCACAAAATTCATTATCTTACAGTTTTGGAAATTGGAGTCTGAAATTACTTTCACTGGGGTAAAGCCCAGGTGCTAGCAGGGCTGGTTCCTTCTGGAGTCTCTGAAAGGATAATATTTCCTTACCCTTTTCAGCTACAGACAAGCTGTATTCAGTGACTCTTGGCCCCTCCCCCTATCTTCAAAGCCAGCAGCACAGCATCTCCTAAACTTTCTCTCTCTTTGACCTCTGCCCCCACACCCATGACATCTCCTTCCTTGATGCTGACCCTCCTGCCTTTCTCTATAAGGACCCTTGTGATTACGTCAGGCCCATCTCAGGGGCCCAAAAATCTGCCCATCTCAAGATCATTAACTTTTCCGCTAAGGTCATTAACTTAATCAAGCAATCAATTCACAGGTGTCAGGAAGTAAGCCATGGACATCTTTCGGGGGATATTATTCTGTTCCCCACAAGTGATTTATTGCACAGGTTTTGGAATTAGAGAGACCTGGTTCAAATCATGATTCTGCCACTTAGAACCGTGTAGCCACAAATGGTTTCAGCTCTCTGAGTCCCCACTTCCTCATCTGAAGAATGAAGTAGCGATACCCACCCAGCTCTTGAGACTGTTGCAGAAGTTGGGTTCTGGAGTACAGGCACATTTTCTTACATGAAGCTGTCACAAGGTTCACCTTAACTGTTGTTACTGTATGACAAGATGTTGTAGGTTGCGGTGATGTAAAGGCATATAAATGCCTAATCACTATGTTGTATATCTGAAACTAATATAATAGTATATGCCAAATGTAACTGAAAAATAATTTTTTAAAGAAGATGCCATGAAGATAGAGAATTCAATCAATCAATAATGGAGAGTCCAAAAGAAGACCCACATATATGTGGTCAATTGATTTTCAACAAAAGGGCAAAGGCAGTTCAGTGGAGAACAATAGTCTTCTCAAAAAGGTGAACCTCAATCTATACCTCACATCATACACAACAATTAGTTCAAAATGGATCATAAACCTAAATGTAAAACGAAATATTGTAAAACTTTTAGAAGACAACATAGGAGGAAATCTTGTAAACTTGGATTAAGCAAAGATTTCCTAGATACCATACCCAAAGCCATCAATTTTAAGAAATCTTTGTCTAATCAATTTTCCTTTTACGGAATACTAGCTAGAAATATAAATGAATGAACCATTGCTACATGCAACAACATGAATGAATCTCAAAATAATTACGCAGAGTAA